TTTATTGCTCAAATTAGCAAATAGTTTTGAAAGTCTGTCCTTAAAATCCGATTTTCTGTCCAGGCCTCACGTTGAACTGTTCCTGCCTGTGGGCCTAATTGTATTTTCATGCATGAACAAGGGGCTCATTGTAATGCACTGGTAACGTGGCTCCCCAAATTGATAGGCACATAACAGGGTCATCATTCATTAGCATTTTAACAATTCCTTCAGCTATGACACCGGATCGTGTGAATTCATTACCATACAGGGCTGCAGTTCATCCAGCCATCTATTAGTAACGCCAATTAGTTTACTGGGACAGGTTTAGAGGATGCAAATAGGCTCGCGGACTCACTCAGGCAACCAGAGCTGCCCAAACTTTTTCATGTCGAGGCTCCCATGACAGACATTCGATAGAGATTTTTGTCCCAGTGACCCACGACTGGGAGGAATTTTTAAAATGGTTAGATTTGATTTTACAGCAGATAAAACCTCCATAAATGTAAAATGTATTTATTTTGTCTATTTTAATGTAATCCCCTATGAATGATCTGATTTATTTCTAATTTAAACTTATTATAACACAATTAACTTGTAATTCAGTGTTTTTCTGAGACCCCTTTTAATTTAAGTCCCTTGGGTTGCCCTGTGTGCACCCTGGTTTGGGCGCCTGAACACCCCTTTCTTAAAAATTGCGAAACAGGTTGCCTTTTTTCTTCTGGACAGGAAGAAACACTGCTGCTGATGTTGCTCTGTGTCCTAGATTTGCTGTTTTCTTCTCTTGGATGTCATGTAGGAAACTTACAGCCCAAAAGTCTCCAGCTCTGCAGCATGTCACACTGAGAAAGACACATTCTTCATAAGAGAGGAAGAAAAATCACTCTCAGAGAGATGTATGAGAAAAATACAGCCTAGCATAGATAAACTATAGGGTCCCACGCTGAAGAGTGATGAACTAAATTATAAGCAGTCCAGTGTGAGTATGCAACTCCCTGTTTATTGTAAACGGAAACTTACAGGTTAAACAGGCTGTACCACATTAAGCCTCTTCTTTGGGAAGTGCCAGTCATGTTGGGTAAGGTACAGAGTCTTATATATCTATATTATATTCACCAGAGGCCTAATTTTGGATGCTTGGCTTACATTACTCATTTAAAAAAGACTGGTATTACTTTCCTTATTACTCCTTTCATTCCTTTTTTTGTTCTAATTACTCATTTTGGGGACTTAAAATCACCTTTAACGTGCTGTAAATCAAATGAGCACATCTCTGCCTCTGTTTTCACAAAACAAACCTGTTTAATGCAGCTACATTTCCACTGCATCCACTGCCTTTGTCGCTGAGGGTTTGTCCTTTCCACTCACAGAGCTTAGACTGACAATCTGACAGCACATCAGAAACTGAAGGCAACCATGCATGTAACAACTGTAATCAACAGCGAATGAGGTGGACAGACATTAGCATGACTTATAGTGCCAATAAAAGGAGGTTATCCTCAGTATGTACGTAGTGTTTTTAATGCAGCTCTATGCCACGGTCAGTTACCTCTCTCTTCTGGTGGTTATAGATGAAGACTGCAATAGATACACTATAGTTTACTGGGGTTCTGTATCAGACAACTGTTTCATCGTCGATTGATAGAAAGGTATTAGTGGCCTAGAGTTAGCTACTCATACTTAATGATTGATTTGTTTTTTCAGGCAGATACAATAAGGAAATAAGTAATAATATACCTGTTTACTATTTCTGTTTAAGAAGATAAGTCTGGTGATATTCTATTATATTCTATTATATTA